TGCTGGTGGAAATGCAAAGTTGTGGAAAACAGTGTGGCAGTTCCTCAAAAAACGAAAACATAGAATGACTATGCTGTTGTTGTTAAGTGCTACCAAGTCGGTTCCGATTCATAGTGACAGGGTTTCCAAGGAGTGACTGGTGAACTTGAACCACCTACCTTGTGGTTCAAACCGACCTCCTTGCAGTCCAGTGCATTACCCCACAGCACCACACCTGGACTCCTATATACCCCAGCAATTCCATTCCTACGTATATATACTCAAAAGACTTGAAAGTAGAGACTCAGAAAGAGACAATGTTTGCTGCAGACTCAGAAAGAGACAATATTCACAATAGTCAAAAGGTAGAAACAGTTTAAATGCCCATCAACAGACAAATGGAAAAGCAAACTGTGTTACATACAATGTGGTATGAAATATAGCACATACTACTTAGCGAGCAGGAGAAATGAGGTCTTAATACAGGCTACAGAATGGATGGAGCTTGAAGACATTATGCTAAGCAAAATAAGCCAATCATAAAAGACAGTCTACAGGAACAGAAAGTCTCATCTTTCTCCTGCAGGGCTGACAGTGGGTTTGAGACACTGCCTTTGTGGTTTGCCCTCCAGTATTTATCCTGCAGAGTCATCTTATTCCATCAATCTGTAAAGAACTGAATTGGCCAAAGTGATAAATATAAAAACCAAAAAACAAAGAGTAGCCTCTGAGGCTGCTTATGTACAACCAAACAGCTCATAAGATTTAGTTCCTTGCTTTAAAGGTACAGAGTCATGGTTTCATGGGACATCCCAATTAATTATTTACTGCTTCTTGTCTATCTCCTAGTTCCTGTGTGCTCTGTTAGCATAGTGGTTATGAATTGGGCTGTGAACCGCAATGTCAGCAGTTCACAACTACCAGCTGCTCTGTGGGAGAAAGATGAGGCTTTCTGCTCCTGTAAAGATTTACAGCCTTGGAAACCCTGCTCAGGGTCGCTATAGGTCAGAACCGAACCAACTCGACGGCCCTTAACAGTAACAGTTCCTGTGTGTGTAGTGCTTGGGGTCTTAAAAGTGGCTATCCAAGGCACAATTGGTCTCTTTTATACCTGAAGCAAAAGAGAGAGAAGAAGAGTCATGAATAGGAGGAGGATTTGATTGTGTGGCTCATGACAAGCTATGGACAACATCGTGAAGTATGAGTATTCCGGAACACTTAATTGTGCTCATGAGGAAGCTGTACATAGACCAAGAGGCAGTTGTTCAAACAGAGCATGGGAACACCAAATGGTTTAAAATTAAGAAAGGTGTGCAACAGAATTGTATTCTTTCACCATATTTATTCAACCTGTATGCTGAGCAAATAATCTGAGAAACTGGGTTATATGAAGAAAAACATGGCATCAAGATTGGAGGAAGACTCATTAACAACCTACGATATACAGATGATACAACCTTGCTAGCTGAAATGGAAGAGGAGTTAAAATACTTAATTTAATGATGGAAGCGTTCCGCTGATAAGAAGAGAGGACATATGCACAAGAACACCCACACTTGCAGATAATACCCACTTGATCTGGCTTCAATGACTGGATGATCAGAGCTCAACTAGAAGAAGAAAGAAGAGGAAAAGAAGAGGAAAAAAAGAATAATCTGATACAATTTGATGA